TAAAATTAGTGAATTACCTTTCTGCTTCTAATAGAAGAAAACTGACGTGAGACTTTGGAAGAAGAATAAATCTGTACCCATTAGAGAGATTCGGAATCTTAAGCAGAAGCACTGAAGTCAGACATAGAAATAACTGCAAACATGCTTCACCTTGTATTCAAGAAGATTTGAGAGGAAGAACAAGTGTCAACGGACTGGAAAGAAGGATATCTCATCAAGATACCAAAGAAAGGAGATTTGAGCAAATGTGAAAACTACAGAGGCATCAGTTTGTTATCAGTGCAAGGAAAAGTCTTCAACAGAGTGCTGCTGAATCGGATGAAAGACGCAGTAGACGCCCAACTTCGGGATCAACAGACTGGATTCCGGAAGGATCGGTCGTGCACAGACCAGATTGCGACACTACGGATCATCGTTGAACAATCAGTTGAGTGGAACTCATCACTATAAGTCAACTTTATTGACTATGAGAAGGCGTTTGACAGCGTGGACAGGAGAACATTATGGAAACTTCTTCGACACTATGGAGTTCCTGAAAAGATTGTCAACATTATCCAAAACTCATACGATGGACCACAGTGCAAAGTGGTGCATGGAGGACTGCTGACAGATGCATTTCCAGTAAGGACCGGAGTCAGACAAGGCTGTCTACTCCCCCCATTCCTCTTCCTTCTAGTGATTGACTGGATTATGAAGACTTCGACATCTGAAGGGAAATACAGAATACAATGGACTTCTCAGAATCAACTAGATGATTTAGACTTCGCAGATGACCTAGACCTCCTATCCCACACACACAAACAAATGCAGATGAAGACAGCAAATGTAGCAGCAGCCTCCGCATCGATAGGCCTCCACATTTACAAAGGAAAAAGCAAGATTCTCAAATGCAACACGGAGAACACCAACTCAATCACACTTGATGGCGAAACTCTGGAAAAGGTGAAAACATTCAAGTACCTTGGGAGCATCGTTGATAAACAAGGAGGATCGGATGCAGATGTAAAGGCGAGGATTGGCAAAGCAATGGCAGCATTTCTACAATTGAAGAACATATGGAACTCAAAACAACTAATTTCAAGGTCAGAATCTTTAATACGAACGTCAAGACAGTCCTACTGTATGGAGCTGAAACGTGGAGAACTACTACGACCATCATCAGGAAGGTACAAGTATTTATAAACAGTTGTCTACGCAAAATACTCAACTTCCATTGGCCAGATATTATCAGCAACAGCGTTTTATGGGAGAGTACAAACCAGCTTCCAGCTGAAGAGGAAATTAGGAAAAGACGTTGGAAGTGGATCGGACATACATTAAGGAAATCACCAATGTGCATCACGACTCAATCCTTAATTTGGAATCCGGAAGGGAAGCGGAAAAGAGGAAGGCCAAAGAACACACTACGCCGAGAAATAGAAGCAGATATGAAAAGGATGAATAGCAACTGCAAAGAACTGGAAAGGAAGGCTCAGGACAGAGTTGGATGGAGAATGCTGGTGAGCGGCCTATGCTCCTCGACGAGGGGTAACAGGCGTAAGTAAGTAAGTAAGTATTATTACTCTTATTAATTTTAGTGAATGTAGTCCTGTAAGATTCTTAGGAAATGGTGAATTTGCCAGTGGAGCTAGTCGCTCTTATACATGGTTTAAAACCGTCACTGTCAATTAGATATCCATGACACTCAAAACTGGATTCACAAAATTAACACACATGGATTCAATGTAATATTCTTCTCAGTTAAACGACTCAATAAAGCATTAAGTCTTCGTTCACGAACCACATTATCAAAACCATGAACAATGTGATCATTTGGACAAACTCTAACATCTTCGATTTCACTGACTACCATACCCATCACTTCCCGAAATGTGGCTGCAGAACAACTTAAACCGAACCGAAGGAAGCTGGATTTGAATAGGTTAAAAGGTGTATTAAATATCGTCAAAATAGATGAAGATTGATCTAAAAAGACTTGAAAATAGGTATCTTCTAAGCCAACATTTGAGAACACTTTAGAACTACGAGGCTGATTTAGAATATCTCTAGCCTCTGCCGTTCTGCATGTTTGCTCCAAAAAACGGGGGTCCATCTGTAACAACTTAGAGTTGACCTCAAACAACCAGGTATATATATAAACAATAGAACTCAAGTATTCATCCATCTCCTTATATTGCATAGGCATTATATTTCGTATTATCTTATATTGAATGTTGATTATCTTTGTGCATTTGAACAGCTAACCTTCCACTCCGCTGTGACTTTCCCACGATCTTAATAAAGACATGTTCCTTAATAGTCTGGATTTTTCTATCAATAGAACGAGGGTCACTAACAGGTACGAAAAATCTATGATCACCACATATTCAAGGGGTCTTATCATCCGACTTCAACGACGTAGCAATAGAAGTACCACACTATGAGGACTGAATCTGTTCAATTATACCTTCCGCACACAAATCGTCCAATGTCTTATTAATTGTCTCTCGGGGACCATAAGGGATTATTCGTCTCTTAAGAAAGACTGGATCATCCTGTATGCGAAGTTTTATAGGGCTGAATTCTCATGCCTATACGCGCAACTATCAAATCTTTAAGTGAAGCATCAGAATTTTCCTCAGAAACTAGTAAAGACAACTCTGCTTTAATTTTTTTCAAGTTTTCTAAACTCAGTACTGACGGGCCTGTTTCACTAACTAAAACTTTACAAAACACGTAAAAATAATTATCATATTTAATTAGCAGTTCACAGCATCGTTGTATAGACAGTTTGTGTCCAGTAATCCACAATACTGAGGCTTCAGTGGGCCGTACTACGATATCAGAATCTAAAGATTTGAAGTTCTAGAACAAAATAATGGACTCTATATTGCCTTTGTCAATAATAAATCCATGGAATGAACGAAGGGATATATATAATCACCTCCGCATACGGACATTGCCCTTCGGAATGGTGGATAAAGATAGATGATCATTAGGAACATACGAATTAATGAGATCAAAATTACAAGATTTAGTATCCCTCGCAGCAAAATGAACAGTAATTTTCCATACTGACTGTGTCCCATCATACCATATTTAAAATATTTAGCATTACAAAGCACGCATGTATTACTTGAATGAAATTTGTCAAAGGGTGAAAATTTATCAAACTTGTGCTTACCTTCCTGGTTTACTTTGCAATTCCTTCTGAGTCACCTTTCATATTTTCACGAGAATAGGAATGACTATTAACCAAACGCAAGTCTGAAAGACCCTGAGAGTGTATTTCATCATGATAACTGGAAAAAGTATAAGGAGTTTTCACCAACTGCATATCATGTTCGTTCACTGCCTCTTAGTCGATACATACAGTTCTAGCATCTTGGGAAGAACAGTTCGCCACTTTTAACAGTTTTCTTTCCAGACCTGGTATTTTAATTTCTGCAATTAATCGGTCCCTCAGCCGCGCATGAAGTCGATCACCAAAATTGCATTTGGCGTCTTGTGTTTGCAATTCAAGGATGAATCCGTTAACCATCTTGCTATTCTGACGAGTTATCTCGTGGACTTCCGCTCTCTCACGACATTCAAAACTGGTGCACTTTACATGATTTATTGGTAGTTTCATGAGAGTTGCATGGAGAAGTGAAAGAGGCTTTTCTGGAAATGCCAACGTTTATAATGAACTGTAAGCTTCTTGTTCATTAAGTGTGAGGTAATGAGAGACAATTTTATCGCCCTTCATATCTTTCTTCGGCACGCTCCAAACTTCGAATATTTACATTTAATCCTCAAAAGCTTCAGAATTTCAGTGTATGTTCAACTGTTCCATCACAGGCTCTATCGACATGCTAATGTGACGACTATAAGTATTTGAATTACCATGGGAACTAGGAATCCCATAAATAACGCATTTTAATCAAGAAATAACTAGATGAACACAAACGAATGCATTGTATTCGAAATTCAATATCAGGCTGACACCAAATACAAATGAATCATTGGTTCATACAAGCATCATAGTAGGGCACATGATTAGGACACCAGAATATGTCCTCCCCTCCATAATATTATGTATATGTAGAATGTTAATGATAAAATGTCGTGGTATGTCCATGTCAAACTTTCTGGGGGTAATTTCTTCCATTCAGCTGACTGATTGTTTTGAACTTTCAACAAACGTTTTACAGAATTAACGAGTGCCACTTGATAATGATGCATTATACCACTTCAATAACTGGAAGTATTTGAAATAAATTACTAAGAATTTTGAGATGGTTTTTTTGTGGCCCTAGATTTGACTGCAGTCCGATGGTATGAATGGTTGTTATTGAAATGATTGCTGTCAAAATATACATCATGGCTATCCTGGTATATAATCACTAACTTAACTCACGTTAAAGAATAACTGAAGTTTAGGCATGCATATTGCATACACTCGTTGATTTGAGCAGACAGTCAGAGAACCGCAGCGAAGGAAGCGAAGAGAGAGTAAAGCGAAACTTTATGACGCTAAGGGGAAGAGGCGAGGGAGCCAACTGTATTTAATCAAGTGTTAATCGATATCGAACTAGGTGGAAATAAGTGAACGTATTATGTTTGTAAAATATAATCAGCTCCCAATCAAACATAAGGGAATCATCAGCTAGTATAAATGTCATAATCACTCACCTTCTTATGAATATCAACGTGCCAGTTGTGTAATTCAGTTTCAGTTTGGAAGGATATCTATTAGATAGATTACGAATTTTTCTGTACTTAGAATTCGTTTGTCATGGAATTTCATGCCGGTTGCAATGGTGACAATAGTTAAGCCTGAATCTCCCAAATGAAGTTAAAACGTTAATCTCAGTTACTTATGCACTGGTAGAAAATGCTCCAAGTGTTACTGAATGATCAGTCCTCAAATTGTTACTTAATGCTCTTGTCATTTAGATTTGAAAAAGACAAAACAGACATTATGTTTTCCTATCACCAAGAAAGATCTGATGCCCATACAAAAACCAGTGACGTTTGAACTTTGGAGTTTATGTATGCGTAAGGCCACTCATACAAGAGGCGGCCACTTCACACCTGTTGGGAAGTCGTACAGTGGCTCTTCGCAGGTCGTAGTCCTTTCATCATCATCTCGTAACCTACTAGCTTCCGGGAAACATTTTAAGTTATTTTAACAGGGCCCTCAACAATTTTTGGATTCATAGTCGAGGTGTTGTGTTATTTCTTCTTTTTTCAAAATATGGAATTTTTATAAGGATTTAATCCGTAGTAGCCAGAAAATGTCTGGGTTACCGAACCTCACACCAATAAGGTAGGTTCTCAGTTAATTGCCTCATTATCAGACTACACCTAAACTGTTTTAAATTTAACTCATTCAAACTGACCGAAGTTCCTGACTGTATAAATATTGTTGCGCTTTCTTTCCTTAAAGTTCATAAAACTAGCTATAGATCTTTATTTTGTTCGACAGTGTAGCTCCGGTGCATATTCTGCTTCATAAATCAAGTTCACTCACCTATTGGCTCCTTCGATAGTGACCAAAGACTGCTCACTACTGGTAAAAAGAAAAGCGCCGTCCAACATGCAAATATTGTCGTTTGTCCGATCTTCACTTGTATTCTAAAACGTTCTAGTTGAATCATTGCAGAAGCTCATGTTCTCAAATATTTCAAACTGAAAGATATGAAACGCTGTTAGCCATGGTTTTCAGATTGTTTAATTGTACATACCTTATTTGTGCCACACTGTTGTATTGTTTGGGTTCATAATCGATTTACTCTTCCTGATGTTTCCTCATGTGACATTACAAGTACTTGTAAACTACACGTCCTCGTTGCGTTGACTAAATTCTGCTAAACAATCTATGAGAGAGCAATCAAGGTATAATATGTTAAAATTTAATTATGACCCAACATTTAATAGTAATATTGGAAAAAAAGCCCTACCACTGCGATTGATTTTGGGTTATGTTATTCAAAGTCTTGAATACGGTAATTATGCTAACTACAGCCAAATAATGCACGTTTGAATTTACTTAAGAGCATGTGGTAGCTCTGTGTACGTAACTCATTCCCTAACCGCTTTAGTTGGCAAAATTCCACAGCTTCACCCACTTAATGGCCATCCGTCAAGTACTAAAAATTGATCGTACTATCATACACCAACACTTCGAAGCATCTGTGGCAGAGCCCTGGCAACCCACACACGGCTTCTACTTTTATGGACAAAGCCCCAGTCGTAGCACGCTTCTGAGTAGATTGCTACGCAGTACACTTCCCTTTTTGATAGAGAAATGGACGTCTTGTCTGAGCTAGGTGCTATCTCTTCTTGTCGATGCTCCATGAGTATTTTAGCGTAACCGCTTAGTTAAGTTGAAGTACGTTTTCAATAAGGATTTCCTACCTTGGAAATACAATATATGAAAAATGTTTAACGTTGACTCAAACAGTCCTTATCACTTAGGATATACGGGTTCTTTAGTCCCAGTAACAAATACTCATAAACCGGTTAGCACAAACCAAACGAACCGTTAGATCAAAGCATCAGGTCTCACCTATCGTATTATTATTATTGTCCCTCACACTGGAGGCATGGCTCAAATTTGACTACAAAAATCAGTTTGTTTGGTAAATTACACTTATTTACTGTCATATTATGTTACAGTTGAAGATGAGAAAAACCCTCCTCTTAGACTACTCATATGTTCACTCATTTTCAGCCATTTCCAGGGCTGTACTTATTTCCTGTACTGCAAGTCTTCCCAAAAAAGGAAAGTGATGAAAGCAAACGTTTGTCGACTCCGTCAGGTTATTAGGTGCAAAAGATTCACTAGGATAAATTTTAAAAGTCAAATTCCATATAAATGATCCACGTGTACTCCGAAGTACTGAAAGAGAAAATGGCATAGAAACCTATTTTGGTAACCTATTACTGGATTGTCACGTCTGACCCTTTCCTACTTCCTTTTGGATTAAACCTGATCAAAAGATGTCTATTAAAAACCACCTGTTTCTGTTAAAGTTTACAGGCAGTATCACAGCCACCACACAAAAATGGTTTTGAACAAGCTTCTTAACCATGCATTTGCATCCTATAGTATAGTTATGTGTTACTCCACTTAACGCCTGATATTTGTTGGAAGTCCTGCTCATCCGGGCAGTCTTAATCACAAAGTAATAGATCTGTGAGACTCGTAGTCTTGTGCAACATTTTTTTCGGCCATTCTAAAATCATTAATACTCCTTAAACTTCCTATCATTGATGTCTACTTAAATCCAAATCACGCAATACTCAGTCCTGAATATATTTATAGGAAGTCTCGCTATTGCTGTGTTGTATCCCAACGAGATCCATACTCAAGATCCCAACCAAGCTCTCATAATCTCTGTGTTTACCTGTGAGGTTGGTAGTGTGCTAGTAGTCATTTTCCCATGGATATTACTTCATAGTGTTGTCATTCCGTTCTCTGTAGCCCAGATTCTGATCTCGTATTATGCTAAACATTTTTGTTTTATAGTGACAATTGAATGCTTCCTAGTATATCCTTTCGTACACAAACGAATGGATCATTATGTAAAGATTCTGCATAAGTCTATCTCCCACATCAAATTTCCCCGTTATCCTGCTCTGAAGTGGGAATAATTTTTGAAAAACCTAATTTTCTCAAATGAGTAAAGCTATAACTAATGGTCTTGATATTCGCTTGACAATAAGTTTTGTGCAAATTAATAATTACATCAACCTTCAAGTTTTGCTTCGGTTTAGTTGGCTATTATAATTCTGATACAAAAGCGTACATGGATCAGATAAAGTTCATTTATTTTATTTAATCAGCTACATACTCAAATTGGCTCTGTGTATCAAACATTTAGGAGAAATTCGATACTGAAATAAAAATAGCAAATGCAAAGTTAACTTAATTGCCAATGATTACGTATAAAATACAAGTTCAGTTATTTCACGCATATTCTCGTAAAATTTGCCCTCAGAAATGTTCGACAGCTTCCAGTATTCAGTCGTCATTGTCTCCACAGCGTTTTTCACATGCGCTCTCAGTATGTAATTAACATTGGAGCCTAGCGGTTTGTCTTAAGTGGAAGTTCTTATTACAATCGATGCAGTTTTCCCAAATCTTTGATTTATCTAGACTTGTTCTATTTATGCTACTCCAACAGCTCCCATACCAGTTGTTATCCACAGACTTAAAGTGCTGTCAAAACAGTAAAGAATATTTGACGCTATCGGATGATAGCTAGTTATGTTGAATGGACAACACCACTCTCTTGATGGAAATACAAAGATGACACCTCATTAGCTCTAAATATTATCAGAGCTGAGCTTCAGTTAAAGTTAATGCCAGTCTTTTTGTCACTTTTATGCCGTATGTAGACGGTGGTCATCAGAAAGCAGTAGGAGTAAAATAAACTTGTAGTTGTTTGTGTACGGATTGTTTTCTCTGTTATTATTAGACCTGGTTCTGACAAAGCTCTAATGTCCTACTGTATTCAACTTCTCTTGAACCCTCTGTTATAAGGAAATTCTGTCATAAATATAATAAAACGAAAATCCCAACGATATAAAAAATAGTAATGCGTAACTCTGTTATGATACTTTCTGCTCTACAATGTGAACTTCTTATGTGCACCGACCTTCGAAGAAAAGTACGTGTAATGTAACATGTGTCAACACAATGTGATTCAATAATATAATTAATGTTTGGAAGCTTCCACATTGACATTTCAATTAGGAATGTTGTCCATCAATATCTTTTTGGCTTTTATGTTTTCTATTTGTATATTTCCCACCATCAAATAGAGCGATTATTAATAGAAATTCCCAACTTTCGAATTTTATCACGTTTTAAACTAAACCACCTAATTGAATGGGTCTCAATCAGTGAATATAACCAAAAGTTAGTTCTTTGGTTCCCAAGCTTTTACTGATAACCACTGCAATGTCAGCTGCCCTTCTATCTAGTTAAACTTGCACCCTGTGGCAAGACATGACATCAGTGCATAAAGATACTGATCTGTACCGGTAATTTCAGTTGACTTGGTTGGGTTCTGCATGATTACCGTAACCAATGGTTAAAGATTGAATAACAGCTCAAGGTCGTCCACAATGACACAGACGCATCTCATTGTCTTGCTTTAGATTCGAAGCCTCTAAATTCCCCGTGAATTTTTTGGTCACTAATTTGTATCCTCTCGAATCGTTCTTTGGACACAGTCTTTCCTACTACATCTATTCTGGTATTTGCCCCGACGATTTCATCTCACTATGCTAATTGGGTATGGCAACTTGAACTGATGTACACGTGCCAGATTCTACATTGAGTTTCACTCATCAACTAAATTATAGTTCTGAATATTAAATTCAGAGGTTTGACTGAAGTTTCTTCAATTTAGTATCAACTATCTATATCCCTACCTATCTCTTTCAAAGATCATACATCTATACAAACTAATACAGTTCATAGCTTCCTCTTGAGATTTTTGAATTTTCAGCAATTGGCTTTACTTGGTTCTTTTGTGACAGAGTGGAGAAGGTCGCACCTCAAATAACAGAAGTTTCTGAAGCTCAGAACATAACAGTTGTGTCACGTTTATCTCCTCGTAAAGGAATTCAGTACACCCACCCAACTCATAACTTTATTGCTACCCCTCCTCGAGATTCCGTTGTTTCAACTGGCTCTGTTGTTGTGATTCGGCCAATTAGCAATGCTTCCACTCCAGTAAATGTAACTGCTTCAGCTTCTTCAACAGGTCTAAAAATTACTCCCATTGTTCCGTTAAAAATATCATCGATTCAATCTACGTCAAATGTATCTCGTTCGAATTCCATACCAACTCAATTACGAAATGCCTCGGTATCATCCCCTGCAAGGGCGAGCAACCTCATTACTCATTCTGTTCGTCCTCAAAATGTTCAGTCAGGAAGTGTTGCACTTAATGAAATTCCTGAAAAATTCAAAACAACTGATGAAAAGCAAACGTCTCAACGTAATGTTATTAGAGAGATGCAGGTATGATATTTACCAAAGTCTTAATCAGGCTTTTTAAGATATTTAATCTTAACTAAACACTTGTAGTCAGTCTATTTCATTGTAAGTGTAGAAATAGATTTATGAGCACGATTCATTATTATTGCTATTGAAAATAAATTAGAAGAATTTGTACATGGGAGAACTGTACTGTCAACACATCAGTTAGCTGACAAGCAGTGGCCAGCTTGTAAGTGTACAGTTGTTCAAGTTATAAAGTTTAATACTTAAAGCAAAATCTTCAAGATGCACAGCAGTTCATTAGCCATACACATGTCTTTCTGGGAAGTTAATCAAGCTCATGCTATACTATTTATTAATCCAAACAATAGCGGAGCAGGTTTAAACACGTGGGTCATCAGTTAAAATTTTATTTATTTAAACACATAAATATTGGTACAAGGAAGCACCAGATACATATGCGCCTCACAAATCTCATTCGATTTATATGATGGCTGTGATACTGCCCAGGTGCCCAGACTGAAGCAGGTGGTTTTCTTAGGGGCCACACCCGGAGCCTTTGACCTGCAGGTCTAGTCCACAAGGCAGTGGAGCATCGTGAGGAGATGCAGTCCCATGGTAGCCGGTGACCAACAAGTGATTCATACGCCATTTGTTCCTTCAGGATACTGGAGTCCATGTGCACCATTGGTTTGGAATCAGGGTTTTCCGACTGTCCTAGGTGGACCCTCTGTGTCCACCAACCCGGTTATAGCGCCTGACATTCGCTTTTCGTCCTCTCACTTTCGTAAACAACAGTAATGCCACGAGAAGGCAGTGAGTAGGACTTCCCTGGCAGAGGCCATATATTCGCTGGCCATGTGAGAGCATTTCGAGAGGGAGAGCGGACTCTCCCCACTCTCGGTCGTACCAGGGCATTTGGGGGCGGAGCAGGTTTAAACGCGTGGGTCATCAGTTAAAAACTGACTGAGTACGTAGGTTCAATCAACCACACAAGTATTTTTGCAGTACAGACCAAATATAAATCAAATTCATTCAGAAGTTGTCTGAAATGATAAAAGGTTGAATGTTAAGTTTGTGTGATAGAAGAAAACAGCTATATACTAAAGGAAATTATTGATCGTTCGATAGTCAGTTTTGACAAACATGTCATATAGAAATTAACAAAGTTTATATTATTCATATGATTTCACTCTCTAGATCGAAATAAACCGTCTTTGTACCACTCAGAAAACTATTCATGGATAAGTGAATACAAGAGGTTGTAAAGTCCTATCAAAACTGGTAGCTTTAGTAGGTTATATTAAAATACTAGAACCAGTGATTCACCATCTTATCGAATTATGGGTTTTGTAACTACCGAGATTTTAATTGATCTTACTTGCTTACAGATAACACGGTTGCTTTTTCATATTTTAGGTCAGAGTTCCAAACAAGAAGGATAAAAGATTTAGTGTACTGCGTTTCCATGCAGCTGACAGGCTTGATTTGTCATCAGCTCCTGAAGTTTTCATGCAGCGTGAAAATAATCTGAAGGCTTATCGGAGTTTGTACAATACAACCGAAATGCCAGACAGTGGTGCTGGTAGTGAATTCGGCCGCGAAGCTAAAGAAGAAGCAAGATTAAAAAAATTTGGAGTTGTACGAGAGAGTTATAAGCCAGATGATCAACCGTGGCTAATGACGGTTGGGAAAGGCAAGGCTAATCGTCGTCGTTTTAGAGGAGTTCGAGAAGGTAGTGTGTCAGAAAATGTCGAATATTTTGTATTTTGTCAGTGCAAAGATGGTAATTTCGATGCTTATCCGGTAAATGCTTGGTAAGTAATTTTGGGCTTTACCCAGCCAATTACTGTGTCATACACTTTACCACTTTTAATATAAAATTTACACATTAATTTCCGAATGGAAATATTAGTGTAACTCCGAAAGTTTGTTAAAAGTGTGATCACTTCATTCTAATAGCCTTTAAACCTACATACAAAAAGTTTTATTTTTTCTAAGACACTTCACTGCGCATAAACTAAATAAAACATTATGGCGACCACTCTGAGTTTTTATTACACCACATTCAGAAATCCCTAGCGTTCTATGTCCTATGATCCTTTAGTGGCCCGGTATATCTGACTCCAGTGATATCGTATGATTGATATTCGTTGAAATATTCATGTCGGCTTCCTCGTATTTAGTTATCGACTTAAATGGCGTTGGTGAACAACGGATATAAATAAATGAAGTCCGAAAATGGATTTCGAATACATATATTTCATACAATCGTTTATCCAGACAAACGATCGAAGAAACAAGGCGAAGAGAAGAGACCGAAGCAAAATGACGCACACTGGAGGTGAGTGAACCAACTCGATTTGACCAGGCGTGAATCAATATTCATAGTCAGATAAAAAATAAGTTACAGACATGTGGTGAGTAATATAACAAATGCACACACATACACACTTACATAAAAGCAGTCAAGGTTGATAAGCGAATAATCAACAAGGTCAAAATGTAGCTTGAGTAGAATGGATAAATTGGTTTGTCCAGTGGCTAGAATAAAACTCCGCCTGTAGCTCTTCTAGAGTTACTGCCGGTCCCAAGCCCGGGTAAAGGAGGAGGGTTGGGCATGGGGTTAGCGACCCCATCCCGTAGAAAAGCTAACTCGCTAAAAAAACGCTAACCAGAAAAAATAATCCAAACCATTTAAACTCTGCCCTGGGAGTTGAAGGAATAATGACGTCTCATGATGAAAGCCGAAATTCTTCGGAAGTCACGAGACCGATGCACCTTCTAACAACCAGAGCAACACTCTTTATAGGTACATGGAACGTCCGGACAATGTGGGAAACAGGAAAGACCAGCCAAATAGCAATGGAAATGAGGAGATACAACTTGGCAGTACTCGGAATCAGCGAAACCCATTGGACACAAACTGGACAACAAAGGCTAGGTACAGGAGAGATGCTGCTGTACTCCGGTCACGAAGGGGAAAATGCGCCACACACTCAGGGAGTTGCTCTAATGCTGTCCAGAGAAGCACGAAATGCACTTGTGGGATGGGAATCTCATGGACCCAGGATAATCAAAGCATCATTCAGAACAAAGAAGCAAGGGATCACAATGAATGTTATCCAATGTTATGCACCCACCAATGATAGCAACGACGATGATAAAGATCAGTTCTATGAAAGGCTGCAATCAATTATAGCAAAGTGCTCACGAAAGGACCTCACCATCCTTATGGGAGATCTAAATGCTAAAGTTGGAGTTGACAACACAGGATATGAAGATGTAATTGGACGACATGGACTAGGAGAGAGAAATGAAAATGGGGAGAGACTTGCAAACCTATGTGCTTTCAACAAATTGGTTATAGGCGGCACAATATTCCCACACAAACGCATACACACAGCTACATGGATCTCACCGGACCACACCACAGAGAACCAGATTGATCACATCTGTATCAACAAAAAATTCCGAAGATCAATGGAAGATGTGAGAACCCGGAGAGGAGCTGACATAGCTTCAGATCACCACCTGGTTGTGGCCAAGATGAGACTGAAGCTAAAGAAAGACTGGATAACTGGACAAACAGCACTACAAAGGTTTAATACAGCCTTCCTTCGAGATACTGACAAACTCCATGAATTCAAGATAACTCTCAACAACAGGTTCCAAGCTCTACAGGATCTACTGAAAGAACAAGAAACTACTTTGGAGGACAACTGGAAAGGGATAAAAGAAGCACTAACTTCAAGGTGTCAGGAGGTTCTTGGTCCTAAGAAGCACCATCACAAGGAATGGATCTCTATGGGGACCCTGGACAAACTTCAAGAAAGGAAGAACAAGAAACTAGCAATTAACAACAGCCGAACACGAGCAGAGAAAGTCAAAGCACAAGCAGACTACGCAGAAGCAAACAGAGAAGTGAAGAAAAGCATTAAAGCCGACAAGCAGAAATACATGGGAGAACTAGCAACGGCGGCGGAAAAAGCTGCAAGAGAAGGGAATATGAAACAACTATATGATACAACGAAGAAATTGGCAGGGAGATATAGCAAACCAGAGAGACCAGTCAAAGACAAAGAAGGAAAGACAATCACTGAGATTCAGGAACAGAGGAAAAGATGGGCAGAATACTTTGAGGAACTGCTGAATAGACCAGCCCCATCGAATCCACCGAACATCGAAGCAGCCCACACTGACCTTCCAATAGATGTCACTCCACCAACGATCGAAGAAGTCAAGATGGCCATCAGACAAATCAAAAGTGGGAAGGCGGCAGGACCTGACAATATACCAGCAGAAGCACTGAAGTCAGACATTGAAATAACTGCAAACATGCTTCACCTTCTATTCAAGAAGATTTGGGAAGAGGAACAAGTGCCAATGGACTGGAAAGAAGGATATCTCATCAAGATACCAAAGAAAGGAGATCTGAGCCAATGTGAGAACTACAGAGGTATCAGTTTGTTATCAGTACCAGGAAAAGTTTTCAACAGAGTGCTGCTGAATCGGATGAAAGACGCAGTAGACGCCGAACTAAGGGATCATCAGGCTGGATTCCGTAAGGATCGGTCGTGCACAGACCAGATTGCGACACTACGGATCATCGTTGAACAATCAGTTGAGTGGAACTCATCACTATACGTCAACTTCATCGACTATGAGAAGGCGTTTGACAGCGTGGATAGGAGAACATTGTGGAAACTTCTTCGACACTATGGAGTTCCTGAAAAGATTGTCAACATTATCCAAAACTCATACGATGGCCTACAGTGCAAAGTGGTGCATGGAGGACAGCTGACAGGTGCATTTCCAGTAAGGACCGGAGTCAGACAAGGCTGTCTACTCTCTCCATTCCTCTTCCTTCTAGTGATTGACTGGATTATGACGAATTCGACATCCGAAGGGAAATACGGAATACAATGGACTTCTCAGAATCAATTAGATGATTTGGACTTCGCAGATGATCTAGCCCTCCTCTCTCATACACACGACCAAATGCAGATGAAGACAGCAAATGTAGCAGCAGCCTCCGCATCGATAGGCCTCCACATTCACAAAGGAAAAAGCAAGATTCTCAAATGCAACACGGAGAACACCGACCCAATCACACTTGATGGCGAAACTCTGGAAGAGGTGGAAACATTCAAGTACCTGGGGAGCATCGTTGATAAACAAGGAGGATCGGATGCAGATGTAAAGGCGAGGATTGGCAAAGCAAGGGCAGCATTTCTACAATTGAAGAACATATGGAACTCAAAACAACTCTCAACCAATTTCAAGGTCAGAATCTTTAATACGAACGTCAAGACAGTCCTACTGTATGGAGCTGAAACGTGGAGAACTACTACGGCCATCATCAGGAAGGTACAAGTATTTATAAACAGTTGTCTACGCAAAATACTCAACATCCATTGGCCGGATACTATCAGTAACAGCGTTTTATGGGAGAGGACAAACCAGCTTCCAGCTGAAGAGGAAATAAGGAAAAGACGTTGGAAGTGGATCGGACATACATTAAGGAAATCACCAATGTGCATCACGACTCAATCCCTAACGTGGAATCCGGAAGGGAAGCGGAAAAGAGGAAGGCCAAAGAACACACTACGCCGGGAAATAGAAGCCGATATGAAAAGGATGAATAGCAACTGGAAAGAACTGGAAAGGAAGGCTCAGGACAGAGTTGGATGGAGAATGCTGGTGAGCGGCCTATGCTCCTCGACGAGGGGTAACAGGCGTAAGTAAGTAAGTAAGTGGCTAGAATAAGCTATTTGGGCTCGACATAGGACCAGCTTCTACAATCCCACCTCACTTTGAATGATACTAATTCATGAAATTATAAATCGTTTGGTTAAGTGTTAAGGTCTAAATATTGGTGTCATGCATTTCCCACACCACGGTCGCAAGTAACAGCAGTATGACTAAACCAGGGTATGATTGGTGTTTTTCACTCTATGTAAGTAGTTTTATCGTGAAATAGCTATTTTCCTCTCACTATGTTCTTTTTGGGTTGTGGTTTAGTCAATGAACTATCATTGTACCGCGTATCCCATCTCAATCTATATTTTAGTAAGTCACATTAGTGATTCATACTAAGATGATGTCTCGGTTACATGTTGATCTTTTAGGTGATTTTAAAAGTCTTGTAAATGTCTTGACCAAAAGAGTTTAGGATGTCCGCTGGTCCAAATTCTACGCATTTCTACTCATGATATGGTGCCCTCTCTCGATCGTAATGTCAATCAAACTATCTCGCCAAATAATCAAAAAGTCATGGTGTATTTTCTCAACTCCGTTCGATAATACAACTTACTCTAATTTTAGAATCCTTTACAATTTCTCGTCAAAAAATATATTCCACTCAACGGCCTTTCAATACATAGTGGGTTTTTTTCTCAGTGCATAAACGCTTCAAAAGAGTCAACGCGTAACACAAGATATGCCCTAGATATTCAGTGAAGCGAAATTTTACAAATTTCCCCACCGGTAAAAATATTATTGTAATATTTGCTTAACCATATTGATTATCATTTCTGCTACATCAAATTATAAACCATTTCCATCTGTTTTACTTCCATCTACCGTTATGAATAATGCACATTTTTAAATTTTTATTAGCACATTAACAAAACCTTTTCTTTTAGTATAACGTGTCACTTCAATGACACTGCAATCTACATTTTTTTCCAAATTACCTAACGTACTTGCAAATATTCTTTTTGCTACTTTTGATTTATAAATAGGTACAAGATGAAACCGGAAATAAGTTATCGTTTTCTTCGAGAAGATGAAGCTGAAGCAGAATATAGCCGCCTACATAAAACCCTCAACTTATTTAACGTTATGGTTAAACGGAAACTCACCGATAACGTTAGCGACGATGAATCAAACATGGACCGGGAAATCTCGAAGGGTTTAAAGTAGGTTCAATTATCCATATTACAATTCTTTATATTAGGGACATAAGTTCTCATTAAAACGAGCTAAATTTGTCCAACAAATCTTTTGATTAACTTATTCATTAGAACTAAGAATATCAGATTACTGTTTTTTTATCCGTTCTATTTCAACTCTTTGAATTGCAAACTTTTGTATTTCTCTGTACTCATTCTAACATATATTCATTAGAAAATCAGTGTGGATATATGTTATAAATTCGCCCAAATATTACGTATTGCGATAGGTCTACACGAAATTCTACCGATTGACCAAATTCAGATATCCTAGTTCGACCCCAATACTGTTCCTCAACTCCAATAAATCAGAACACAGCCGTCAAATGAGAATTGTTTATGGGGTCAGCAGCAGAACAAAAATGGTTTACAGACAAGGCATATTTATACAGTTACGATGACTTAAAAGTAACCAATGGAAAGGAAGGACACGTAAAGGTTATAATTAGGACAACTCAAAATTGACCAATAGGGAAACGACACATGAAAGTCATAGTTAGGACAACTGTAATAATGGCCAATAGGAAATAACATGTAAATAATGTGAAGAGACTGAAAACATGCCAATTTACATTCGAGATAATTTTTGGGATATTCTTGTGAATAACCTAACAATATATAACATTCTTTTGTAACCCAAAATCTTTGTAGTAAGAATGTTTTGAAACAATAATCTAGATTCAGAACCCTAACATTTCCATAACAGACATGGATTTCAGTTTTATTATTTTGATCCATTTCATTCTGCTTTCAGATTTCTAGCTTCTCTAGGAGACTCCAATTCAAATCAGCGAAATTCAACAGAAGTAAAAACGAAGGATCTGAAGCCTGAAAACTCTTTAAAGCTTACTGATTTGGAAGAATTGGACAGTGGTAGTGAGGCTGATGATGACGATGATGAAGATGATCTGGATGATGATAATCGCTTGAAAAATCTGAACGCCGATCCAACCAAAGCAGAAGAAGGCCCAAGTTCTAGTAAAGGGAAAGGTCTCTTGTTTCAAGATCCTGATGATCGTAATAAAGGTAGTTTACTAAAGACGTCCGAACGCACTCGCCTTGCTAAAAAGAAGCAGCGTGCAGTTGCTATTGTTACAAAAATGAGACGTGGTGTTAAAAGGCGTAAACGAAAAATTATTAACATGGGCTCCTCAGATGAAGAAGATGATCCAGACGAAGAAGCACAAGATGAGAGTGAATTAGACGATCATGAAGGAGACGAAGTAAAGCATGTTTCTTTATTAATACCTTTATTTTATTTATTGATTGATTGATTAACTTGTCTTAGTCACACCTTTTACTATTTCAGGAATTCGTCTGTAAATTTGAAGCTGGAAATCGTGGCACGTATTTGAGACTAAAACGTTGATGTATACCGCTTTTTATTAATTCGTTAAATACGTATGTGATGTAAGATTGTTTTAAGTTCGCTAGTTCAGTAAGTGTTGAAGTAGTACATTTACCACATGTATTACAGCATTGCATCAGCAGGGAACTTATATTTTTTTATTAAGTGGATAGTCTGTTGATCTATGACCGGTGCATTTAGGGTCATTTCCTGCACCATAACGAATTAATTATAATCATCTGCAACTAGAGAACGTAAAATGAAAACAGAGCACGGAATAACAAAACAATAATTACTAAAATATGTCAGTTAGGTCTACCATAGTGCATGTGTCATGTTACTCAGTGATATACTGTTCCTGCTAAATATTATTCAAATTAGTTAGGGTTACCAGGGACGGTGTTAATCTGAAGGAATAGCAAGTAAGTGGTTTTACTTAGGGAATTCACTAATAAGAATGGTCTCACTTGTAGAATAAGATACACTTACAAGTGCTAGAACATTTAATGCATTTTCAGAGGAGCAGTATGCATCAATGCACCGAACAATGAATGGGAATGATTTTATCTTATGGATAGATTGTGGTAGACTATTCTAGAGTCTAGAAAATTTACAGGTAAAGTAATTCATGTAGAGAGATGATTTAGAATGTGTTTGTTTCACTAGTCGTAATTAGAAGTTTCTACTTATTTAATTACTTGGTTGGATGTAAATGATAGTTTATTAAGTATTTTGAAGAACAAGATTAGCTTTAGTTTATTCAGCATAAGTCAATAACAGAAATTTTCATGTCATATTCTACTTACAGTTACCATCACCTGGCCCTCCATCAAATTCGCCCTTCTGTAGGAATTCAGTGTGATTGTGACTATCTCAGAAACACCATAGAAGTGACACCCATGCATGACGACATATAATTTAAGGAAATTTGTATTACTACTTCATCTTATTCTAAACTGTAACTAAAACGGAATCTTATATTCTACGGTTCATAAATAGTTTGTTACTTAAACACCTGTAATTTAATGTTTAACTTATTCGTAATAACATTCTTATCGTCTTTTTGAATTTGTTATTATTTTTTCTTGTGACTACTCAATTTTGTCAGTTCATCTATCATATTGATAACAACTTGTACTATAGTGAATGAGGACAACCGATCATATATTTAGCGAAAATTACAAAGTTGCTTGATAAAATAGAAAAACCATACTCTGATATTTCATTTGCGAAATGTTCGTTAATTGTCCCAGGCTTCATTGTTCCTGGATTTTCACACCAATCGTTTTCTGTTTCTGTTCTTGCCTTCTCGATCTTCTCAATCTCCTGTTACCAGATATTCTATTTCTGACTCACAATACATACTACTGTAGTGAACAGAACACTGGTTGGGAACAATCGAATCTATTTAAGCAAAATTACAGACTATCTCAGTAAATTCTGAAAACCATACAATGAACAGTCAATTTGCAAATTAACAACCAATTGTTTCAATCTTCACTATTTCTTCTCTAATTCCACTGCTCATGCATTTTCCAAACGATTGCGCTTCATTTCAGTTCTTTCCTCATCGGTCTTCTGCGAAAATACATTCTATGTCTGACCCACACCATATACTACTTATATGGATATAAGTAGCCCACACCACAGTACATACTGCCTCCGGTTTATTACACGTGTTCTGTTCCCGTAAGATTTCAACTTTTGTGGTTGTTTAAAGCATAGATAAATATCTGTGACATCAAACAGATCTATTTTTACACATTTTTCTTCTGTAAACTACATTTGATAAACATCTCTTTTCCAATTTGTACATATGTAAATTAAATTAACTCACTCTATCCTACGATGTTTTTAATTCTTGCTTCATGTAAGCTTATTGAAGGAATTAATTAGTTGAAGTATTCTTAATCTTTTTATCGTTATTGTAGGTAGATTACATGACTAATTCATCATCAGATGAAGAGAAATTATCTAGCGAAGAACGCGAGAAAATATATGAAGAAACTGGGGTTGATGAGGAACTCGCCCTGAAAACCCTACTTACTGACATCAGTAAGTTGTTTTTGATTAGTGAAATTTTACTTCCGCATACTGATGGAATAGTGATAGCCTTAAATGTTGTAGATGAACGGTAAGTGTGAGTCACTTGACCGCCTCCTTAAACACTAGAATCCCCCTGAACATTAACCTAATTTCTCACTCCTCCCATTTTTTTTCCACTATTGTTCGTATATTCTACTTATTTTTACACAACTTCTTCCCCCTCAATACCTGATGCTAAATAAACAAAGTTATCGAATATCATAAAAGTACAGCCCAAACAGTATGTTGAGGTTTTTGGTCTGGAATTTTCTCCATGTCTCATTAACCATCCTTAACTGTAAATATTTGTTTAAGTTTCGTAACATTCACATGAGATCATCCGCATGATATCATTGGTATTATACTATTAATCTTGATCAGACTTAAGACAACCAATCAAATCTGATATTTTTAGTGTTTAAAACAGAGTTAATATCGACTACCTTAGTTTTCGTACCGAATCTCATGTTATTCAAGAAGTTTTTCTTCGTAAAAGAAAAGAACTGGTCTAGTAACACCAGTGTTACTATAATTATTTTTTTCAAAAGCTAACAATTCCCCTTGAAATATATGTAAAAAAACGTCTAGCGACAGAATTACATTTTACAACCCCATGTAAATAGTCCACTAGTTCATTGTTTCCATCTATTCTTTCCTGGACCTCAGCAAAATGTTGATGTTGTGGTTTCGTTGTTAAAATACCTAACCCTCAACCGTCAGGTTTCACATTATAACTTTGATTAAAGCCCATTGATTAAATCGGAGGCCGGTGGATCAATAGCCTCTACACGAAAATTGTGACTCGAAGCCTAAATATATGAATCTGTTGGTTGCTGAGTTGTATTAAAGTTATTAGACTATGAGACAAGACTACGCTGTGTTTTGAAGAACTTTGAAAGCTATCAGTGTTATTAGTAGTTCATGTATTACCTCGACTATAGTTATGACTTTTAGAAGTTAGTTCTTGGAAGCGTGTGACTGATGTTACTTTGTTATATATTTGCCGATCTGCTTCACTTAAAAATTTTCTTTTGTCTATCCTCTGATAGATAAAAGTTCAAGCACATAGTTATCAATGCATAAAAATTTAATTTCAAAAGCTCACTTTTACTTTATCTAACACGTCTAGTGTTTTGTGAGGGTCTATTACCTTCTTGGTTAAAAATTAATGATTGTTGGTTCTAATATCAATTCTCCGCTCTAATTAGGAGTTCGTTTACGTCGATAATAATAATAATGTCTACAATATAACTACAGTATATTCTAAGCTTGATTAAACTATTTTCTTCCCAACCTTCAAATCATAACACTTATAGGCCATTCTAATAATTTGTATAATTTCAAACTTAAAAATTACATGATTATGTACCTCAGCTAGAAGACCGCAACACTTACTTACTTACTTACTTTCGCCTGTTACTCCCAATGGAGCATAGGCCGCCGACCAGCTTTCTCCAACCCACTCTGTCCTGGGCCTTCTTTTCTAGTTCTTTCCAGTTCTTGTTCATTCTTCTCATGTCTGTCTCTATTTCTCGGCGTAATGTGTTTTTTGGTCTTTTTCTTCTCCTTCGACCTTCAGGATTCCATGTGAGGGCTTGTCTTGTGACGCAATCGGGTGATTTCCTCAAAGTGTGCCCAATCCACTTCCAGCGCTTCTTCCTGATTTCTTCCTCCGCTGGAATCTGGTTTGTTCTCTCCCACAGTAACTTGTTGCTGATAGTGTCTGGCCATCGGATCCGAAGTATCTTGCGTAGACAGCTGTTAATAAACACTTGTATCTTCTGGATAATGGCTTTCGTAGTTCTCCACGTCTCTGCCCCATACAGAAGAACTGTCTTGACATTTGTATTGAAAATTCTAACCTTGGTGTTGGTTGACAATTGTTTTGAGCTCCAGATGTTTTTCAGCTGTAGGTATGCTGCTCTTGCTTTGCCGATCCTCGCCCTCACATCTGCATCTGATCCACCGTGTTCATCAATGATGCTGCCCAGATATGTAAAGATTTCCACATCCTCCAAAGCTTCTCCGTCAAGTGTAATTGGATTGGTGCATATTGTATTGTATCGGAGAGTCTTGCTTTTCCCTTTGTTTATATTGAGACCTACTGGTGCTGAGGCTGCTGCTACACTGGTCGTTTTCTCCTGCATTTGTTGTTGCGTTTGTGATAGAAGAGCCAGATCATCCGCGAAGTCTAAATCGTCAAGCTGCATCCTGCCTGTCCACTGTATCCCGTGCATTCCTCCAGATGTTGACGTCTTCATAATCCAGTCGATCACCAGGAGAAAGAGAAAGGGTGAGAGTAGGCAACCTTGCCTAACACCGGTCTTTACCTCGAACGAGTCGGTGAGTTGTCCTCCGTGGACGATTTGGCAGTTTAGTTCATCATAGGAGTTCCGTATGATATTTACTATCTTCTCAGGCACACCGTAGTGTCGAAGAAGCTTCCACAGTGTCGTCCTGTCCACGCTATCAAATGCCTTCTCGTAGTCGATGAAGTTGATGTACAGTGATGAATTCCATTCGATTGATTGTTCCACAATGATACGTAGAGTTGCGATTTGATCTGTGCACGATCTATCCTTACGAAATCCAGCTTGTTGATCTCGAAGTTGAGCGTCCACGGAATCCTTCATCCTGTTTAACAATACTCTGTTGAAGACTTTTCCTGGTATTGAGAGGAGAGTGATGCCTCTGTAGTTGTCGCACTTGCTCAGATCGCCTTTCTTTGGTATCTTGATGAGAAGTCCTTCTTTCCAGTCTGTTGGTACATGTTCTTCGTCCCAAATCTTACCGAAGAGGATGTGGAGTATCTTGGCAGTTGCTGTTACATTTGCTTTCAGTGCCTCTGCCGGGATGTTGTCTGGTCCCGCTGCTTTGCCACTCTTGATTTGTCTAATGGCCATGCTGATCTCTTCAATTGTTGGTGGGCCAATATCGATTGGGAGGTCTGTGGGTGCTGCTTCGATGTTGGGTGGGTTCAGTGGAGCTGGTCGATTCAAGAGTTCTTTGAAGTGTTCTACCCACCTGTTTCGTTGTTCTTCAATATCGTTGATTACTTTGCCTTCCTTGTTTTTCACTGGTCTTTCTGGTTTACGGTAATTTCCAGCAAGTTTCTTTGTTGTATCATACAGTTGTCTCATGTTTCCCTCTCTTGCAGCCTTTTCCGCTGTCATCGCTAAATCTTCCACATATTTACGTCGGTCAGTCCTGATGCTCCTCTTCACTTGCTTGTTTGCCTCTGTGTATTCGGCTTGTGCCTTGGCTTTTTCTGCTCTTGTTCGGCTGACCGCAACACACCACAAATAAAACATTTAAGTCTATACAAAACTATGTCATTTGTCGTGTAATACTGAGCAACACGTATACAATTAGTCAGCTGTATCAACGAAAGAATCCTATCGTATCAATTCATTTTGTTTGACCAATTGTAATTTATGGACGGCTAAATATATACCAGCAGTTAGTGAGTTAGGTGAAAGCCTACATCATTGTAATTCACTCCAATTTGCAATGCAATCGTTTGTTCAAACCATTCTATCCGTCCCATGTAATTTATAGCCCTTGCTCCATTATTGTGTAATATATATTGAAAAAGCTTTTTTCCTCCTGTGTTGAGATTTTTCTAATATTCCATTGTGTGCGATCTATTGATTATTCGTTTTTACTTTTTCCTTAACAGGTAGTGAAGAAGAGGAAAAATCTGAAGATGACATGCAAGACGTGGAGGAAAATCCACCTGTTGATGATGAGGATAATATCTCTTCTAAAAGACGTAGTGAGATAGTTGATATAAAAAAATCTCAAAGAAATGATTTCCAAAAGGGTATAAAACAGTCAATATCCATTCATAATTCAGAAGATGATAGATTAGAGGCCTCTGCAAAATCTCATCGTAGTCATAAAAAACGTCAAGACAACGACAATGACAGTGGATCTTCATCAAGTTCGAGTTCTTCATCAGCTGATGATTCCTCTACATATTCTTCCTCTGATTCCGACCTTGACAACCGACTTAAATCAATACAGAAAAATGCGAAAAAGGCGGAAGTGTTGCAAAAGCTCTCAGAAACCATTCATGCACCTTCACTTTCATCTGGAATTAATAGTGGTAGCAGTTCAATTGACACTCAACCAGTAAGCTGTGGCAATAATTCGAATTTAAAACGTTTACCTACTGATTTATCTGCGTCTGTTAATTCAGACCCCTCAACAGATTCACCTGCTGCAAAAAAATTACGAAATGACACACCATCCGGTACATCAACAATTTCAACTGACAATGAATTAGTAAATACTGTACGCAAATACTTAATGAGAAAGCCTATAACAGTTAGAGAATTATTAAAGAAAATTCGTCTACGTAAATTGGTTGGTAAAAATGAAGATGCACAAACAGTATTGGCCAATGTATTACGTCAGCTTAGACCTATCAAACAGACAATTAATGGACAACATGCTTTATCTTTAAAACATTAATTGTCTGAAACAAAGTTCCTATTTTTTTAAAAATGCATGTATAAACATTGCTTCTTCTTTTTCTAGTTATATTTATATATTTTTAATAATGAAATATATATATATATATATATATATATATATATATATATGTATATATATATATTTGTACACAAGAAATGTACATTTATTTTTTAGTAACTTATTTGAACATATTCATTGTGTGTTCTTTAATAAATAATTTTCGGAACAATCGTCTTTCTTTCTCTACAAATTACTTATAGTTTGCGTTTAAAGTTTGTCTGGCTATACGTTTGTCTTAACTGATGTGAATATATTTCGAGTTGAGTGGGTAATTTCTTTTATTAGTTATTTATAGTATAATACTCTATCGGTAGGTTAATAGCGTTTTATCATAAATGCCTTGAAATCATTGCTTACTTATGATGGGATCTCCGATTATGCAATGCTGAGGTTAGACACATGGTACTAGGTAAGGATAACGGATCGGAGCACGAGGTAGGGAATCGTTATTGATTGAGTAGATTGGTAAAAAGTGTTAGGGCATGACCAAACGAAAACATGACATCAGCCTACGAAATCATTGACAGTCGGACTGAGCTGTATAAGTAGATACAGTCTACTTGGCTGGGGTCGGTGCATTATCCTGGATCAGAGGTCAGAGACCCTATGTGACATGTCTCAGTCTCATTCATTCTTTTTTCCCGCTAGGTCTTGAGTTTTAAGATTATACACTTTGTCGGGCTGGGGCCATTTTCGGTAAATTGTGTTCGGAAATTCTTGTTATGACTCGCTGAGCTTTTAAAAATCATGACTTGCGTCGCATCATCTACGACGCTTATTGGATTTATTTTGATTATATCCGAATCGGGACGTAACAAATTTTGTTTTATAGTTAGAAAACAGACTACAAACTAGATATCATCCTTTTGTGCTCATTCGTTTCATAAGATGTTTTTCATGCTACTTATTATTACCAAGTAGTGTAAAAATTGTGTGTTCAGCTTGAAATGAAGTCGTTTGTTATCATTTTCACCACTGTGCGAATTCTGTTGAAATTTCCATATCAATTTTAGAACGGCGCTTCTCGATGTCATAGTTATCTTTATCCCGTTTAATGATAAACTGGTTGATAATCTCTATCAGTGGCATATTGGGATTTGGATTGTTATCTTTTACGTCATCAATGTAAGTTCTATCGCATAATCATCACGTTGTTACCTCTGTCAGTACATTTTGAGTGATGAATGAAGTTAAAGTCTTTTTTGTAACCTTCTTAATTTGTTCTAATACAAGGATTTCTTATTGGTTTTCATTAAAAGTGATAGATCGGATTGTTAAATTCGATGCAGTATATTTATGAAACATTCAATAAAAGCAAATCAACTTATTTAATTTTTTTAAAACTAAAACTCTCGTTCGTAACTTAACGCGATAAGATTTTCCGTCAACATACTGGTGTGATCAACTGTATTTACCTATGATGCTGTTAAGATAGTTTACCACGAGAGAATTTGATGTACATAGTATTCTCAGAAAATATGCCCCCCATTATGTGGAAATACTGCCAAAAAATAAGGTCTCTTGAAAGCTTTGAATGCTAATCTGGAGATTTTTAAAAGTACCTGGCACATCCAAATCAATTAATTGTAACGTTGGACAAGCTCCTCTACATTGTTTACTTCTTCGGACAAGTAGAGAAGTTTCGTTTCTAACTTATCATCCTACTCTCCTTATGATTCTGAAATTTTATGTATAATTCGATATCAATGATGTGGCTTGATTCGCATGATTTCTGTGCCTTACATCATAGTTGTAAGATTCACATTAAAAGTATCTTCTGAACAGAGCGTGTTCGATCATTTACTACTTAACTGTTACGATGTGTCAAAGCTTAAACTGACTCACTTTTGTGTGAAGTTTAACATTTTATGTCCGACTTGCTTTTCATTTTACCCTCTCTCTAACCAATATATTAAAAAAACCTATACCACAGCACATTACAATCTGTTATGCGATTTCAGGCGTAACCACAGGAATTCACTTATGCTACTTAAAAATGTTTATCGTTCTCAATAAAAATACCTATTTCCAACTTTTTAAATCTTTTTTGATGGATATGCCAATTAGTATATAAACAGAAGCTTACACTGTCACTGTTTTAATGGATTCAGTATCAAACAAATTTACATGATTCTGGGTTACATTTGTATGCCGATTACCTATTTTCACTTTGTCGTTCAACTTTCAACATCTTCACTTACCGACCGTTCATAATTTATCTCTTTGATCAGTCATTTGAATAATCGTCAAATAATTCTACGTAACACTTTTTCGCTTGCTGCTACCGTATATTCGTGATCATTTCATATATTTACTCACTATTTTTAACTCATTTTTTCGTTTGACTTAAGGATCATGTCTGCATTTCGTAATTTAGCATGGTTTTCAAAGGGGATGCGTGAATACACAAAGTAAGCAATTTTATTTAAAATTTCATACAATTACTTGAGTATGAGAATGATTATAGTGTGGAATACATTTCGGTTTTTGTACGTATGTCTGATATTTTAATGTCCCAGTTGTCAAAATCCAGATTTATTTGTAGCTCATATATTGTCCCACATACGTGTAATGCAGTAATAATGTGTCTTATTTAACTGGTACATAAGTATGTACCCAGCTCAGTCATACTATTTGTCTGAAGGATAGAGATACTGTTCTAGGATTCATACTACCTGAGAAAGTAAAACTAGTAAGAACTAGCTTCAGCATTATATAACAGTTTGCTTGATACGTTGTTAGCATAGTATAAAATCAAATTACAAATGTAGTCGAGTTAGAATCCTAATAAGTAGATGTTTGACCATGTATTTAAACGTTAATTTTGTTAATTCGAAAAGCTGTATTCGTAATATCCTTTCACATTCCAAACAGTTGTTAGTCTTTGTTGCATTCATATCTAAACAAATAACTAGCTATTATTTATTTTTCAATTCCTAGCTCCACCTCAACATTGCTTGTCATTCTTGCCTGTTACGCCACACTCAACAATTACTCAATAGGTCAAATTTTTTTCAAACTGTTTTATCTCTTGTTTGGTGGTGTGCATATATTTTTTCGTCCACTTCATCGTGTGTTCGCCACTGTTTGAAACTTTGTCTGTTTTGAACGTTTCTCCATTCCTCTAACTTTTGATTTGTTACCGTTTCCAATGAGACCTAATAATTCTATAGAACTTTTGCACTTCGTATTCCAGAACCATCAAGTTAATATTTAAAATGGCCGACTAATAATTCAACAAGATATTTCTAGCTCTGGAAAAGTCAAGTAGCTGAGTAACTTCATTTATTGCTGAATCATATACCACTCAATAGAGGAAAAGGTTGAATTACTCAACCAGCCTAAGCAATTTTTCCCGAAAGCCTTATCAGGGTTACACGACAACCAAATTGAATTATTAATCTACATTATGATCACCACATCTTTCACAAACATACTAGACCTGTTTCACGTGATTTGACGCGCAACTCTCACCAAAATTTCAGAATGGCTTCTTTACTAACAACTTCTTTCTTGTTGATCAAAGTATGTACAGTGTGTGTTTGCGATAAAGCTCAGCTGCTTTCTCAAGAAAAAGTATAATTGCATACTCGTATAAAAGCTTCGTTAATCATCTAGTGTCTTTGTGTTTTACTGTTAGTGTTTTCTACAATGTAAGACAATGAAAAGTCACTTTATGTCACTGGGCATGACGTGCGTTATCACCTAGAATGAATATACGTACTTGCATACACACGAAAAACATACATTCCACAATTTTTATAAAAAGTTGGGAGTAACATTTATATAATTTCCTAAAATCTTTCAGCATATATGCTTTTTAAGTAATGGATTTTTTTGATTCTATGGTTTGTCGTAAATATCAAATCAGTTAAAATTCATTCTATCTAAAGTCTTAACTTTCTCTAGTGTTGTATATGATAATCATTTATTACACATCGTTGCTAAAGTCCTTTTTTCACAACTTTTTTTTTCATTTATTCAGATCAGGCTATGAGTCAGCTGCTTTACGTTTTGATCCTAATGAGTTGAAAAATGTACGCTTAGACAATCGCCGTGTTTTAGTAACTGGAGCCAATTCAGGGATCGGTCTCGTGTGTTGCAAAGAATTAGCCAAACATGGTGCAGAAATCCATATGGTTTGTCGCAGTAAACCTCGTGCTGAAGAGGCACGTCAACAGATAATTTCTGAAACTGGAGTCAAGGATTCGGTCAGTTGTTCGTTTTATCTAGAAGTATTATGAGAACTATTCCTATGATTATCCTTCTCAATGTATATGTCTTATTACGAGAATTACCAAGAGTGTATGCCGCTGGTGATGCTGAATTCTCAAATACAACATTCGGAAAAAATCAATGTCAAAATTCACGTATTGATTCAAAATGAACTTTCATCTAACTTTCAATCCATTTTCATTGTACTGCGGTCTTGCGTTCAGTAATGATTGTTCAGTTTGATAAAATTCTATATATAATAGTCATTGACATATAATTTGAATAAGCATAAATGCAAACTAATTCTTCCGGATTCTCTACCAATACAGCTTTCATATAAAATGAACTTTCCAAACAGTTAGCGGCCAGGCAAAGAAAATTATAGAAGCAATCTCGTTCATTGTATTAAAATTGGACTATTGGAAATTAGCTTAGTGTACAAACATATCGTTATGTCCGTCATCATAAAAATTACTAAGGATGCATACTCTTTGAACAATAAATAATGGCTCTAAAACGTTACCCAGGTCATAAGAATATTTGTTGAATTTTGATTTGAGTGTCTAAGTCAACCAACTTGTATGTTTCAGACTCGATCATACTAGTTTTCACTTTTTATCTAAATATTGAATGTTGGGTCATGATTGATTGTTTATTTTTCCTCCTTGATTTCTCATTCCCGTTAACCTTTTCTGTTATGCATTGTCGTATATTTGTCAATATCGATAGTTTTAAAACTAGTTTGCTTGACACAATGTCAATGAATATCGATGATACAAGTCCTTACACTACGTACTTAGTGTAGTTTCTTGTAATAAGCAGTCTATAAAAATATGAACCCTTCCCTTTATCTTCAAAATGAACTTTTTAAACCAAATGTTTTAAAATACATTTCACTAGCTTTACATCATGATAAATATGTGATACTGTTTGCTATAATAACAATTATTCCAA